ACAACTATTTGCTATGTAAAGATACAGTATAGTGGAGTGATGGCATCCTGAGTATAGACTGTATAAATAAAAATGGAAGTAGTCTTTATGGCGTCACCCAGAGGTTTCTCTGTCAGTCGACATCTTGGCTGCCCTGACTCCAAATATGGACAAAGAGGTGGAGCTGAGGAGACCCGAATGAACCCTGGTTACTGAAAACAGCCATGTCCTAAATTATGTATAACTTTAAACCCTAATCTAATTTAAACAGGTGAGTTCACCCCCTGTACAGTTGTCATGAAGGGGGTAATTAGCTACAGAGACCAAAAGTCTCTGTAAACGTGTTTATTTCTGCTGTAAAGTTAGATATTTAATATGGGGCTTTTGGAGCTTTGTGTTGTATCGCAGCCTCTCTGTTGGTTTGGTTTCACACCAGTCCTGCCTTCGACTGAAACTGCTGTTTTTATCATCTACGTCGGTGAATCACCAGGTGATTGTTGGAAACACTAACAGAGACGGTTTTAATGAGTTTTATTCTGTTTCTGTCCACTTTGAATGACCTTATGATATTACGATGATATGTGAAGTAAAATGACCTTTTTTGTCCATGGAGTCTGGTGGACAGTCATAGTGACATTATTTCTGGTTAAACTAAAGGTCTATCCCTGTAGAAGAACAACCTGAGCCTGTCAGTGGCAACAACAACGCACTTTGACGGGGGCAGTTAGCTTACTGTTCCCTTTTTACAAATACTGTCACATCTAATTTAATTAAGAGTTTATTTCAACCAAACTAGTGTTGGGGATTGTTGTAAAGACTATGGAAAGTTGATTTTGGTGAGTTTTATTTCATTTCTGTCCCATTGCTTTGGTCTGAGATGCTGCTCTAGTGCGTCATCCAGTGGCCAATTTCATATATATAACCTTTAAACTCAGAGCAGTTTGCCTAAACAGGTTTTGGGATTGCTAAGCTAGTTAGTTCAGATAGATAACTAGGATATTTAAATTTTTTTATTTTAGCAAAAGCAACAAACTAGGAGCCACAACATATGGTAGCTTGGACAGTTCATAAGCTGACATCACGTAAATCAAATATGATTTAATGTGTCCACTGGCTTCTGGTCAGATGGGCAGATAATACAGAAACAAAACATGCATTCTTAAATGCGTTATACACTCAATACTTGGCACATTTGTGATTCTGAGGAGAGCTGATTTATCATTCAGACATGATGCCACCTCGCTAGTCTGAATTTTAAGTGACAAAATAACATTTTCAGTTTTACCTGAAGCTTGGAGCCATGAGGAGGATGAATGTTGTGAATAATATACATATTCTACTAAATATTCAGGATATACTAAACTATTCCTTTTTTATTTCTGTCAGTCTTTAATGGCAAATATAGTTGGTGTCACTATCAGCTGGCATTATTTGCTCAAAAAGCAAACGTTCTTGATGAAACCTTTCCTTGTCCCCTGCATGTACAGGATCTGTTGTCCATAGGCAGTCTCTGTCCTCCAGGTGGACTAGAGGGGAACCTCAGGAGGGTTGTTCCTCCTCACCCGGGCTTTCCTGCTCTCCTGTTTCAGCTTCAGGGTGCGGAGCTTCTGCTGCCGACGCTTCTCGCGGTACCACAGCTGCTCACAGTACTCGTCCACACTCAGACTGTTGGTCCCCACCATGTGCAGGTCTTTGAAGCTCCTCAGAGGAAGCTGCTGGGGATGTTGGGGCAGCAGCCACGAGTTCCGGTGTCCCGGCAGCAGAGGCGGCGACTGAGGGGGCCCCGACTGGCCGAGAAACCCTGTGACCTTCCCGAGGGCCGCAGGGTTTGGGTTGTTCGGGCTGTGGTTCTGCTGGTGGCGCGTCGGGTGGAGGCTGTTGTTGGGGATAATGTGAACGCGGTATCGGGCCAGGACCTGGCTGTAGGAGTGCTCGTGGCTGGCGCAGGTGTAGAGGCCTGCGTCCGCCAGCTCCAGATGTTGAACCAGCAACCCCTGCTTCATGTGGAGGGAGCGGTGGTCATCGCTCTGAGGGAGCTAAGAGCAGGAGAGACAAATACACAGACATGAAGGTGATGATTAAGTTTACTTCATGAATGAATAGACCTTTTTCACAGCAGCCATTTTGATGTGAAACAGTAGGGTAAACACAGGCTCTGTTCCATTCAGGTCAAACAGGGTCAGGCTGCTGCTATTGTGCACGTTGGCTCACAGGAAAGAATCTGCTAGACTAGTACTGTTCTTGAACTGGTTACGTTCAGGATTCTTGCAACCTTGCTGCTATCTATCGAACCAGTTTTCAGAGTGGAACCATTATAATAATAAATGTGTCTTTAACAGAGGACTTTGCATAATGCACAACAACCTGTAGAATAGGACACACCCACTTTGGTTCCCAAAGAAAACCTGCTAATTTTTGGCTCCAGCTCGGAACAAACTTTCCGGGTTATGAACCACTTTATTTTTGGTCGAAATGCTCCTAACGGTTTAAAACTAGGTACTGGAACTGGAACAGAGCCTGTTCCCCACTGGTGGAAAAGGCCTATAAATGGAACAGAACCTGAATTAGTATTAAAACAGCCATATCCCTCAGGACGGCAACCTGTTTTTAACTGACAGCAGTCACTCATCTTTCCCTCACACAGTCAGCCTCTAGTTTGTGAGGGATGTCTATTCTTACAAGGGATTTAATTTCAACCTTAAGCTATAACTATAGTAATAAAAAGAGAACACTATACCATATAAATATACTGTTTAACACCAGATTTTACTCCCACAATGGAGATCAGAATATATTTGAATCATCCGTGTGAAGAGAGATATCATCACCAACTGATGTTTGCTGAGTGATTCAGGTAATAAAAACTCACCTCTCTGCTTTCTTGTGTGTGACTGAGTGTTTGCTGCCGGCTCTCTGTGTGCTGCACCGTCCACCTGAGCTCAGCCTGCTTCGACCGAGGAACACACTCCAGGAAGGTTGAATTTCCCTCCACGCCATACACCAACTTCACCTCCACAGAGTCCGAATCTGACGGAGCAACAGGGGAAAAAAACAGAAATATGTTTAACATAACGAGTGTGTTTGTGCCCAGATGAGAATTCTTCAGTATGTTTGTTATTGGTCAATCTGAAAAAAGAGGGAATATAAGAAAGGTGTATCGCTTTAGCTTGTTATATTAACATTTTATACAAACATTTATATGAACATTTGATCTTTTCCTTAACCTTAATTATCATAACTGCCCCTAAAATGGCTGGGAAGAAAAAAACTGCAGTTACAGAGTACGGCCACTAGAGTTCGCCATACTCCTGCCTGCAGAACAGAATGGTAATAGAAGGTATTTTAATGTATATTCTCAGTCAGTGCTGTATATCTTTTGGTATTATGTCTCTTTAGTAATAGCACATTAATCTTTCTTCCATAATAAAGTGTAAACAAATGGAATAAGTGACACCAACTCTTTCAAAATCATTGATAGTAGCACAAATGTAAAGTGTGGCTCTGTTAAAATGAGACATTCAGTGTGTCTAACTCCACACTAAATACTAACTGAATACAGTGCACTATATACACTATACTAACTGTCTTAGTATACTAGTGTGCAGTCAAAATCAACATATTTAAATGTTTTATACAATACAGGAAACTGCCAATTTAATGTCAAAAATACACACAGGATGTAGTATTTTCTTTTGTTTACAAGGCAGTTTTACTACCATCTACAGTTTGTTGTTTTCCAGTTGTGAGTAGCTCTTCTATTTCCTTCCTGCATGGTATTGTGGGAAATTAGCATCATATGTTTAAAGCTTGCATACCGACTGCTTTCAGTACTTAAAATTGTTACATTTCCAGTCAGTTTATTCATTCACAGTCAAGAAGCAGTAACAGACTCACTCAGCACTTCTACAATCTTGAAACAGCCTCTCCTAAAACATACATCACTGTACCATTATCTTCTATTTGGACTTTACAGACGTTTTACAGTGAGCCTGTTTAATCACATGAGTGAGTTCATAAAGGGGATTTATGCAGATCTCCTCTGGAGCCAGCGGACAAACAGCCGACCATCCCCAGCAATGCCACTTCGAGGTACGCAATCAATCACAGAGTGTATATGTAAGTGGACGTCCTCTGTTTCGACACCAACCAAGCTGGGTGTCCGTTACGTAACTGATGGCAGGACAAATATTAAAAACACAGACAGTTTATTCATATCAGACAGTGGAAATCCTTACCGTCCTCTGTGATTGGGCACTGACTCCAGGGGTCTCCGTACTTTACATCCTGTCTCCGCGCCCGCCTGAGAAACACACACACACACATTTAGAATATGTTGTGTAATTGCTTGCAGTTGTATTGTGTTGTTGTCTTACCAAGAAACTTAACATAACTTAAGCTTTAATTTATTTATCAAATTATCATCAAACATCTTATGACACTCAACAGTTTCACCTAATCTCTGATTATTATTGTTATTTATTGTCTGTATTGATGATGTAAAACATGATACAAATATTAAAGGACCAGTGTGATGGATTTTGATATCTGTCAATGAACTTCCACTTTACAACCAACTGAATACTGCTCGCCTTTCCAAGCGTGTAGGAGAAACTTACAGTGGCCAGAAAACTCTTTAGAAAGGCAAAAGACCCACAATAACACAATTTGCATATTCATAGATTCTGGGATTTTTAACGAAGTAGGAGGAGTAGATGTATTTTTACAGATTTTAATGTAAAAATTATACTTTTTTTGCAGAAGAAAATTTATCAGACGAACTTATTGTTCCAAGAAGACAATTACATATACGTCTTAATACATGTTTGGAGGGGATCATTAATATGTATGTTACTGCCTGTGACTGAAGTGCACTACAGTAGACAGTAGACTCATCAGTTAAACAACAGCTGACAGCAGCAGATAATGGAGTTGCCTTTAGATAAAGCTGTATAACCGCTTTAAATCCTCCTCCTCACTGTTGTTGCTGGGCTTCTGCCGGCTCCTCGGGGGTGAAAATATGAAGCTACTGCGATTATGAACGAGAACACACAGAGCAAGGACAGGCTATGAAAATACAGAGTGTTGTTTCAGCCACGGTAAAGAGTGCTGTCACGTCTCCTTCTCCTTCTAGTCCGACCTCCCGCCGTCGTTTTCTGACCCTGCTTCCCTTCCCTGCACCCCCTTCTTTCTTTGCTTCACGTCCTCAAGACTGTAACATATCTGAAGGTCTCTCTACATGTTTATTTATCACCCTTTTCTTCACCAACTCTCACTCTCTCCTTCCCTCAGTCACTCATTTTCTCTCCATCAGACGACTCTGGCTCTCTCCCACTTCTTCCTTTTGCTTTTCTCTCTCTCCAAATGTTTGGGGAAACACTCGAAGACACCAAATCCAACCTATTTCACCATCTTTAATCTAAGATGGGATTCATGGGTCCTTCAAGGGAATTATCCTAAAGATCATCCTCCCTCTTTACCTCTTGCTGGTGGGGAAGAATCTGGAGCAGGTCTGTCCGTCCCAGGAGCAGTAGGGGTCTCTGGCCAGACAGCACTCAGCGCAGTCGGCCCCGTATAACTCACACCTCTGGAGCCCCAGCTGGGCCACACCGAGCTCACTGGACACATACAGCTGTTGCTGTGGAGGAGAAGTAGTGAGAGATGAAAGGAAGAGGAATGAAAGAGTTTCGTTACATTTCTGTAGGTTCACCGTTCGTCCTACTGCAGGTTTAAAAAGTGAGAGGGAGACAACTTTTTAAGTTAATTTATGTGACTATCTCAATAAAAAAGTAGTTTCTCCCATATTTGTTTCTTTTTTTATAAATATTAAAACTTAGCTTAATTTTCAATTTTTTGGAGCCTTGTGGTTGTTTTATTGGGTGATCCAAGTCATAACCAATAACGCTAAATGGACCAGCTTTCCATCAGATCAACTTTATATATGTGTTTTTCTTTAAACTTCTTAAAGTTTACTCTTAGTAAATATCACAAATACACAGACACATAAAAGTCAGAAGACAGACAGGCTGACAGATAGACCTACTCTCTTGGTAGACAGCTCCAGGCTCAGGATGGGAGTGGGACTCTGCAGGATTAAAGGGGAAATGGATGAGTTTAAAAACACAAAAACATTTATAGACAGAATTTATACATCCAGTATGATAACACATACTGACACACAGTATTTGTATTTAGATGTTTATGATGGCCGGGGTAATAGATGTGATTTAATCAACAGAAGAAGAATCTAGGAGATGTCAGGAGATATTAATTTGTTTTTAAGACTAACTGCACTGAAGTTATTGCCCCGTTGTCGGTAAAAGACAAAAAAAAGGACACACAGAAAACTTGAAAACTACACAAACTGTGCAGACAGATCTTGGATAATGTGAGGAAGGAGAAAACTTATATGGTCGTTCTCTTTCAGAAGAGCGATATTTCAGCGCTGCAGAGGTTGAGGAATTCCCTCTGTGCTACGGTAAACGCTGGCTTCGAGGTCAGGGCAACTACCGAGATTAGAAATCTAATGAGTCTCTTTCTTCCTTCAGAAGACTAAATTACCCCAGAGCTCCATTTTTCCAGCCCACTGACTTGTTTCAGTGTCTCACAAAGGGAGTAAATGACCCCTGACCACTCTGAGCGGAGGGGTCGAGCTGAAGGAGGAGGGAGGGATAAAGGTAGACGACAGGAGAAGAGGCATCTGTACAGTGATCTGGCTATCCTGTGTCCTGTCACAGCCAACAATCTGACCAACCATTCAAGTGCCTCCTTTTAGAAAGCCAGTCAGGGTGCCAAAGCAGCCTCCTCTGGCTCAAACCCAGCCTTCAGCGGATAGAAAACTCTGAAATAAACACTGCAGTTCATCATATGGCTGCACAGTCGATGCCAGCTGCTGTGGAAATGGGTTGGTTCCTGTTTTAATCTCAGTTATAAAGTAAGAGCATCTGGTATCCTGTTTGTTTGTGGCTGTTTTTGCTTGTTGTGGTTTTCTGTCTCTCCTCCTTCCCGTCACCTGTGCTCTGTTTTAAAGCTCTCTGAGGCTTATTTCCTTGTTTAATTCCTCTCTTCCACGTGTCCTGCTCTATTTCTGTCTCTCCCATTTTTTTCTCCAACTGTATTTTGGCCTTTTCTGTTTTTGTTTTTTGGTTCCCTCCTCAGTCCCCTCCTGTCTTAGCGTATTTACATAGAGGACCTTGGGAAAAATGCGCCCTGCTATCTGTTTTTCTGTTTAGTGGAGTTATTCCAGACAAATATGTTCCATTGGAAACTGCATAAGGCCTCACGCAGCACATCACATTCTGCAGGGCTGGCAGATGGGCACTGGGAGATTATAGCCATAAAAGTCCTGTGTAACTACATAGAGCAAATACCGTCCCAAACAGACTTTTACAAGTATTAACAAGTACTGACAGCCTTGTCTGACATTTATGTGGGTATACTGCATGAAGAAAATTCATTAGTATAGCTTTCATTCAAAAAAACTTGATACTGATAGCTGATCTCACCTGGAAGACAGTCATCTCCTCCAGAATGATCTCCTCTGTGTCCCAGTTGTCTTTGATGACTGACACTGCTTTCACCACCTTCCCATCATCTGGAAAAACAGAAAAGAATATTAATTACACGTCAATACACACAGTGTGTTCACTGGGTAGAGGCTGTGGTGTACAAAACCACAAAGAAAAATAATATTTAGGCTTCCTGAACTCTGGTTGTCCTCTATTATTACATTTAAAACAACACAAATACTTTGGAAAAATGAATGAGGCTGACCAAAGAATGCCAGGGTTAGGGTTAGGGTTGCACCACGCAGCAAAAGTGCATCATTGACTGAACAAAGCAGTTCAACATATCAACAGTTGATGAAAGCATTCACATACTGTATGCAAACCCAACAGGTAGGTCTTTACCTGCAGAAATCCTTTATTAAACAGTTATATTTTCAATTGTAAGAAAATCAACAGGGTTTTGTTGACTGGAATCTCAATAACATCCCATATGATATGTCAGGGGAAGACATTTTAATGATTTCATGGTTGAATTAATGACCTGAAGGTTTCTCTTGTTGTGTGCAGGTTTCAGTGTTGTTACCTCCTAATAGAACGTGAGTAGTTATAATTAATAAGAGTGTATAAAGTATTTTAGAGATCCCCACAAAGCTCAGATTATAACTCGAACCTTGAACAGAAGAAGCTTAATCAAGAGTTGTATCGGGAAATTGGTGTAAAGCTCACCTTCCAGAGAAAGTGCAGTTGCTTTATATTGTTCAGGAATTAAATGGAATAATTTATGGCTCTTATGAGAGCTAAAGAAAATACAGATGACAGAAATTGAAAAAAGTGGTTCATTTACATGAAACAAGAAACATTTAAATATAGCATAACTGTAAATGAGTGTAATCACGTTGGAGTATTACTATTTATACTATACTATTACTATTTGCTTTGAGCAGTGCCTGAAATGATCAGTACACTAATTCAGCACAACCCTAACCCTAATTTTCTTGCCTTTTTTAATCAATTTTAACAAGGACATTTAAGCTAGTAATGTGTTTATACAGAGACGCAGTTAGGCAGGCGTTTAGAAGTACCTCGCCAGCACTGCTGTATGGGTACAAGGTCCAAAAACTGACCTCAGAAACAATGCTGAGGTTAGGACCTCTGGGACTTCAGTGGTGGGTACGCCCATGCTCACTGCAGGTGGTGGTAGGCAAAAAGAAGTAAAGGTACAAAAAATCTGAACTGACGAGTATACTGGCCCATTCCAGCCAGGTTGTATTTGTGCTGCTGCTACATGTTGTTTCCAAAAGAACAGTGTTCTCACAACTTAAAGCACCTGAATGCCAAATCACTAAAGTATTATCATATGAAAGTATGAAGTTATTAGTTATAGATGTGTGTTTGTACAAAACAAAGGTTTCTTATTCTTAAAAGTCAACAAACATTCTGTGACTGTTGCCGTGGAGGACACATGCTATAGCGGTAACCGTAGTAACGGAGGAATCCAGAAACTGCACACAATGTAAAAAATTTCAGGGAGGATTTATGAGACTTTATCTCTACTACTGCTACACATACACACACACACACCATCTGTTACAGTGAAACTACACACTGAAGACACACACAGGCACATGTTTGTACATGAACACACACATACACAATGTCAGGATGCTCCCAGGGAACCTCATAAACCTCGCTGTGGGAAACCTCCTGTGTGTGCGTGTGTGTTTATGCATGTGTGTGTGTACAGATGAGTTTGTCTAACAAGGCTACCCTACATGGACTGATGATGTATTTGGATGTCTGTGGCCATCGGAGACCTTTGTAACATTTCATTTCAGAGTCGAGATAAAATCTGTGTTCCTCTGACAACAGGCCAGCATTTGTTCGGTCTCAGCCCAATAAGGCAAAAGATAAACGTTGAGAAACCACAAGTCAAGAGTAAGCTCAAGCTGGAAAAGTTCGCAAAGGTCCCTGAAAGAGCTCAGGATGATTAGCTCCTTTAAAAAACGTGTGTGTACTGTCCAAGCTCATCATAAAATATATACAGGATCCAGTATGTGAAAACATTTTCTGAGCCTGAGACGTACTCAGTGTTTATTCTGCAACCAGAAGTTTAGTTCCACATGTTTGATATTTTCCACTTTTCTGTCAGATCTGTGACCAAACTAATACTGACACGCCACATTTTTGCAATCAGTAAACATACCGTGAGTTGAGCTGCACTTATTCAACCTGTCTGTTCTCGTGTTCCAGATTAACAGTAAAATATGTATGTGAACAGATTTGAGGAGAGAAATAGTCAACAACAGAATCTGGATCCATATCTTTTGATCTGAGTTTGGTGCGTTGAGCTGGACGGGACTCACTGAGAATGAGCTGTCAAATCACAAGGTAGCCCCAGCCCTAAAAGCATTTACCCTGCATGGTCTGTTTGACTCTAAATGGGACCATCAGTTACTAAATGAACATCATGCTGTATGGAAGAACACTGAAACTAAAGATTGAGACCATATATACTGTCAATGTTTGTGAATTCAGTTGTTCTAATTGCTAACCAAGCTATATAGCTGCCTAAGGTTGTTGCTAATACAAAAATCTAAGTTACTGTTACGTTACTGTTGAGGTCTTTTACTCTTGTGGCCTCTTTGTGTATCAACTTAATGTTGATCTTTCTTCCTGGCACGAGGGCCAATATAACTAATGTACTATATCAGTTACATTATTCTATACTTTTGAGGCCACAGTAATGTTAATGGATGGGTGACAGCCATTCTCCTGTTTTCTACATTTTTTACCGTTCAGTTTGAACTTTTTCCCCGTGGAGCTCCAGGCTACAGCTGTACCAGCATTCGGCCATCAGGTTTTCACATTAGAATTATAAATAGCAGCTCAGCTTTGACCTTGTGGTTAATATTTATGACCTCCAGCCGATGGAGGTCATGACCCTCTGCATGCCAAACGCAGGAAAAAAAAAACATCTCCTCTTTCATTTTTTTGCTTTAAAAATGTGATGATGAGAAAATAGACCAAAATAAGCCACTGTAATTATTCTAAAGTTAATATATATTTATGGTAATACGTATTATCACACAGGTGCAGCTATTAGGTATCAAGAGACAGCTGTTACAATTACTGTATTTTGATAAAGGATAAGGCTCTCAATACATATTTCTTGTATTTTGCAGATGGACTAACACATTGATGACATAACAAAATATAGAATATTGCAGATTTGTCCTTTAAAATGTCTGAGTAAGTTCAAAATTAACGAAAACAAGTTAGAAAAAAACATTGGGCTGTAGGAAATTACTTCCTATCCAATTACTTTATAGAGTTTAGTCAGTCAGATAAAGCATAATAAAATAATTTTATGCTTAAAATATAATTGAATATCATCTGCGTATTGTTTTTAAGACCACAAAAACAGTGACATTAATCGGGACGAACATGTGCATAAAATGAGTCACTACTCAACTCATGACCTCAGAGTAACCTGTAGACTTTTTAAAGTATATTTTATTTTTAGAGTAAACCACTTTGACGTAAGCACGTGGCTACGCATAAAAAAAAGGGATATTATCTACGCTTAGAAACAGCAATAAAAAAAAAAAATTAGCCGATGGGAAGACGAGTCAGAAGATTCATCCTGGTCGCATAACGTAAAAAAATCAGAGCACTTGAAAGAGCAGAAAGAGCATTTATCAGGCAGGTAAATGTGCAGTTGATGGGGAGATGAGAGATGTTGGAGAGGAATCCACTTAGAGGAGATGTATGGAGCCGTCGGAGCACCTCTGGCCCCTCGGCCTGTCACCAGCAGTTAAATAACCTCCACCATTTATCACGCACACACAGCCGTTCACTGCCAAACACACACACACAGGACCACAATTACACACATACAGCTTCAGGGTTTTTATGATCACACATACGTGCACACCTGCAAACACGTGTGTGTATGTTGACGCACTGATACACAAAGACCAGACACACTCAAGAACCCATTCACCCTGTCACACAAGTGTTGCTTTTGGAGGAACAGTCGACCTTTTCCACCTTCAGAGGCACTTTAAAGAGATAATGAATGAATGCGGGATGTTTACACACAACAGATGAACAAATGAACCACACTCAGTCATAAATGACATTTTAATGATGTGGTTTGATTAAAATGTGAAGTTGTCGAAAGATGCTTTAACTAATTTTTTTCCTGTTGACTCGACGTAACCCCAGTTTGTGCTCTCACTCTATTACTGTTACATTCAAGCCACAGAGCGTCCAATTATCCAGAAAAAATATTTCTATTATTTTATTATTCCTGGCCATTTTCGAAAAACCCGAAGGATACTGAAGGTATTTCCTGAAACTTTAAAGCTCCAGTGTGTAACATTTATGAGGATCTATTGGCAGAAATAATATGAATAATATTCACAGGTTTGTTTTCATTAGTGTACAGCCACACTGTAAAACCAAATAAGTTAATTTAACATCGATTGCATTGAATTTTTTAAGTAAATCTTTCTTGATCGAGTAGTTTTTATCATTTTAAGTGACACTGACTTAATTTTGTAAGTTTTATTTGTACTGTGAAAACAAAATACCTAGTAAAGATACTTAATCAGGAATGTTTCATTAACTTACAAAACTAAGTCAGCATCACTTAAAATTACTAGCATCAAGAATCGTTTTTAACTTACAAAACCGAGTTTCTGTTTTAACAATTTTTTTAGATAAAATAACTTATCGCATTTCAGTGCACCTGAAAATAAGAATTGTTGTGTTTTTGTTACCTTGAATGAGACTTTTTTATCTACAGAGGGAGCAGGTCCTTTTCTGGTGGAGTCCGCCATGTTGAACCGCAATTTTTGGCTCTTGATGGGGACTTTCACTTTAGTTTTGTTGCGAGTTTCACGACCAGCATAGTTTCTCCTACACATTTGGAAGGCTTAGTTAAAGTTGAGTCAACCTTTATTGATCCCCATGGGTAAATTCATTCTCTGCATTTGACCTCCTCCTGCACTAGGAGCAGTGGGCGGCACCCGGGGGACCAACTCCAGACCTGAACCAGTGCCTTGGTCAACAGCACTGACCTAAAAATTAACATATGTGTTAGCTGCATTCAAACCGTTGCAATCAACAGTTACAGTCCTAGAAGCCACTGAATTCCAAACACTGGTGCTTTAAAGACTCTTCTAACCATTTGGATGAAAACATATTCTGTTGTTTAGGAGATAAAAACATTTTTTAACCTGTTTCTAAAGGTGTGACTGTATTTCACAGTAAGTGATTGTGAAATGCATTATGTTTGGTCATGTGTAATTTTCTACTTCTTTCTCTGGATTTAGAAAATATGGTTATTTCTGTTAGTTTTGTTAAACGATCTTTTACTCCACAGGAAATCATTATGTTCAGCCCTGACTTGTAATGCTCTCTAAACACCCATCTCTTATTCTCTTCTACCTCTGTCCCAAACTCTTGATTTAAACTCTTGAGTTTTGGAGTGCCAGCTAGAAACCTTAAAACATAAACATGTGATGAAGTGAGTCATTTATTTCACCAGAGTGAAAAATGGCATTTGATTTCTGCTGTTTGTGTTTTATATCCATTACAGTGGCTGTGTCTCTTGTCTCTTCCCCTCCCTGTTTCTCTGTTTCTCTGTTTTGAAGATAGTGTACAGCTCTGGTCACAGTTTCCACCATCCATGTCTCCACTTTTTGCCCTCCATGTCTTCTACCACCACATCTATCAACATTAGCCCCTGCTCTGTCCTCATGTCTAATTTCTTTTAAATCCCTTTTAGTTTTTATAAGAAAGCCTTTGTCAGTTTGACTCCATGGTGTCCCATATGTCCTCATCTGTTTTCTCTTTTCCACCCATGTTTTCCTTGTGTTTTTCAGTTTTTTATCGCTCCGTCTTGCACTTTGTTCTGTTTTTCTTTCCATTTCAGGAGCATATCTAAAAACATATTAATGGGATGGCATGGGGAGGAGTGGCAGAAATATATACTGATTTAATCACAAACTTACTAGTAAAAGACCCCACATTAAGATATTTCAACTCAAACATTATATTATTGTGGCACATTAGTGTAACATTGAATAGAAATATCTAAAGGTGGCATTAGAAATCAAATTGTTTTATTTCCAGATTTTTTCATTGCACTATAATTGAGTCTTCTGTTTTGTTAACACATTTTCTTTAAATCATTTAAATTTATAAGTTAAATATGAAAGCATTTGCCACCAAACTTCCCATCAGTCAGGGCCACCTATCTAGATTCACCCCAACTTACAGAGTCACACAAATGAAGCTCATTGTAATAATTTCCATCTCCTCTCTCTCTCTCTGTCTGTCTCCCTCTCTCTCTCTCTATGCCTTTGTTATTCTTTCCTTCATGCAATCAGTTGAATTGCCACAACAGAAACATTGACTATTTGCAGTGAACACACAGTTTAACTACTTTCAGTCTCACATACAAACTATTACCATACTGAAATTTTAAAATTCAACTTTCAGTGTTGCAACTTAAACTGCAACTCATCCAACAATATTTTATATGCAAAGAATTTACATTTTAAAACATCTCAACCTTCTTTTCTTTAAATGATTTTAGTGCTGGAACTGCTTTCAACAATTAACATTTTAAGACATCCTGTTTACACCTCCAAATTTTAGCTTTTAGTTCAACTACTCTGACAGACATTTCAACTGTTTTCTCTGCTTACACTAACTGACACTTCAATTATTTACAGTGTGCACACTTTAACTATTGCTGGCGTTTGTTTTATTGTCAACAGTTCCACTGACATCTGTTACGCTTCAAGGACAATTCAACCACTTTTGCTTTTGAACAATTAATATTTTGAAACATTTTAACTTTTACTTGCAAGTTTCTCTGTAAGCAAGCACACTTACATTTCTTCAGAAATTAGTTTTTCTACTTTTTCTTCTCTTCTAACGTCTCCCTCTCATCACCTCCTCTCACTCTCTCAACTCCCAATCCCCTCCCTCCCTGCTCCTCCGCCTCCTCACCTGTGCCCAGGTGTAGGACATCGTAAGGTCCGTCCTCGGCGTCCACCCTGTCCACTACGACCCTCTTTAACATGTAGGCCGCGTTGACCCGGGTCAAGATGGGTCTGCCGCCCAGAGGCAGGATGGGCTCCCACATCAGCTGGTGCTGCCGCATGAAGCTCACCACCTCGTCCGGGAAGTCCTTGGTGGACTTGTGGAGAGCGTCGTAGGTCTCACTGGGACACTGGGGGACAATTCAAGAAGGAATATTATGAGTAAAAAGGTCAGTAAGTGTGGTTGAACGTTGACTCATAAGGCTTTTATTAACAGTCTATAAACTGTTAACAAGTGCCTATTAATGTCTTATAATCTAACAATACATGTGTTTATGATGCTATTATAAAGACTTATTAACACTTATTATTGTTTATAAGCATCTTGTTACCTAGTAACCTAATGAAAGTTGCCCTAGAACAATGACTTTCAGAAGCTAATTTGTAGAGAAGGTCATATGTTTCACTTGAAGCAATGAAAACTAGAGAAAGATGGAAAGATAAAAGATATAGGAGACATATATGATGAAGAGCCGATATAAAGTAAAGTAAAATGCACTGATGGATGAACGAAGAAAGAATGAATTACAAAAATGAAATGAAATTATTTGAATATTTTGGTGTGTGTGTGTGTGTGTCTGTGCAGAGGTTGTGACCACAGCATCTCTGTGACTGTTTCATTCCCCCTTCCACACACACACATTCACACACACACACACACACACACACACTGACGTGGCTGACCTCTTCTGCAATCAACCACATGATACAGAACCTGAATTCCCCAGCAGGGAGAATGAAATAACACCTGACACAGTCAAACACTAAAACCTCGACTCTCCTGACAGGTTGAGCCTTCCCAGAGGAGTTCAGTGCTGAGGTGTTAAATCAGCAGAGTTTAACCCTCTCACAGCTCCGTCAGCTTGTTTTCATTAGATGTGTGTTTGGAGTCGGATCTCGCAGGACTCACACAAACATAAATACCATCCTGTCGGCACCATATTTACAAAGAATTACGGGCTGTGAACTTTAATAAGCAAGTGACCAACACCTTACACGTTTCATCTGCATCTGGTTTGGAGATATCTGACTCTTTCATTTCTGCCGTAATCTTACATATGCCTATATAATACAATGAAGGTGAATGGAATTTGGTTTGTGATGCTATAAGCAATAAAAAATACATCTGAAAACCCCCTTTTTTTCATCTTTTGGTCAATTTTGAGCTTTTGAGCTGTTATGCTTCCATAACTTTGTCTTCTTTTTCCAGACCAATGGAAAGAAAATGCCTAAAACACACATTTCGGTATTTATTTTACTACACTATGTCTGTTTGCATCAGATAACGCCTCATTTGCATATTTAAACAAAACCTCCAAACATTTCGTTACAATTTGACCCTATTCACCCGTGGTGAATTTTATAGTAAAAATCTTTAAATACGTAATACATAATTTGCATATTTAAACCAACAAATTTGTATTATAATGTAAGTAATCAACTGGGGATGTTTCTATCTATCTATTAGTTCAAATGTTCACCTGTAGTGGCCTGGCCTTAAAGGAGATACATATCTCAAAACCTGAGCACAAAAGTGTCTGAAGGACTAAATACCACCAGAAGAAAGTGAATTTATTTTATTTATTTTTAATTTGGTTGTACTGAAACTTTATTCTGTGCTTTATTAAGGTGAAGGCGTGTTTTTGTTCTTTCTTGCACTGAAACTCACACTGTAGGCTGCACCTCTATGTGTGTGTGTTCTCAGAGTTAGGTCTTTAAACCATCTTCAACATCAAACACAGTCAAAACCAAACTGTTGCAGTTGCAGAAAGACAAAATGTTTGTAGGTTGTGTTTGTGAGAATACGTTGGTGTGTACTCACAGTGCCAGGTCTCGGGTATGGGATGCGGCCCTTGTACTCCACCCAGCGATAGTCGGGACCTTCTTTATGAGCAAACGGCCCGTTGAAAGCAGCACGGATCGACGCCATCGAGAACACGCACACTGCTGAACCCCGAAATATAGAGCTGCAGGAGAGAGAGGAGGAGGAGGAGGTGTTGGTTTGTGGTAGAAAGGTAGAGGAGGAAAAGATAGAGAGGGGTTGAAGATAGATCAAAAGCAAAGCAATGAGAGTGAAGGAGAAGAGAGAAGGAAGAAAAGAAAGGTCGGAGAGGACAGAAAGAAGGAGGACATGATAGAAACAACACAGCAAAGATAAAAAAGGAGTGAAGGAAGGAAGAAAGGAAGGAGGGATGGGAGGAGAGGAGAGAGAAAGAGTCAGGAGTGCTTTATTACATCAGGGTTACAATAACAGAACCAGCTGGGCCTCTTCACCTTTGACCTCAACACCCACCCACACCTGACCTCCGACCCTCCGTCCCGCTGGGCATGCACGTGGCCGGCTGTGAGTGTGCACGTAACAGAGGAGGAGATCCTCCCAGTGCTCTGATGTTCTGTCTAACGTTTCCTTCCATTGTGAAACTTTACACAGTGAGATTTTAGGAAAGTCACAAAAACTTCAGATTTATCTTTTTTAGATACAGATCATACTGGAGGGAGATTTACACGTCTTTACATGCACGTTACACTGCACTTTGTGTTGATTTATTTGTTTAAAGGGAAACTTTGCAGATTTTCAACCAGCATTGTACCATTGCAATGTGCCTGCACCCAAAGGTCCCCGCTCATTTGCCTACAGATATGACAGATTGTACTTCTGCATTTTAACGTGCCTGGCCTCTGAACCATGGCGGTGGATTAAGAAACTCAAACCAGGCAGAACTGATTAAATCTGAATCAAGATTCTGTTACTGTGTTGCATATTTCTCACCTAAAATGTTTTCTTAAATACATTTTAGTTAACTGTTTATCTGCAGTACCAGAAAATGTCTAGATTTTGAGCAAAAGAGAATACCACAAACCCTTTTACTCTCAAAAAATATTTGAAATCTTTCTACTGCAGAGACAGCCCAGTTTTATGAAACGATCTTTCAAAGTGGTCTCTGCAAAAATACATACAGTGTGACTGAATGTATTCTCACCTGGATGTACTGAAGACTCCGTAGATGGTCGGGTTTTGAGGGTCCTTGGTCTCCAGAACAAAGATGTCCTCTGGAAAAACATAGTGACAACTTTAAAATTCAACATTATGAATCAAAGTCTTACTTTCAATGAAATGTCATTAATGTGTCCCTCATGCTGAGGATGTCACCAACCTCAGATGTCAGATGTACAGAAGTGTTTGTACTGTTCATTCTATATTTTTGTGAACTGATCTGTCTAATTTGATAAAACGGTAAATTGCCAAATGAGCTCCAAGAATTACTCAAGCACAGTTCATAGCTCTGTTGATTGGCATCTTTTCAAAAGCAGTGAGAGAAAAGACAAGGGAGGAGAGAAGAGGGAAGGAAAGGAGGGGACACTTCTTGCTTGTCAAGTTAAGGAAAGAGGAAGATGAAGTAAGAAAAAAAGAAGGGAGGACAGCAGGGACATGATATCAAAAGGTCTATTACATAGCAGATGAGACTGGTGAAGGCAGAGAGGAAGGAAAAGGAGGGAACGAGTGTTACCGAGCTCATCGAACTGCGTGTCAACTCCAGACGGACCGGGGACAGAACAGACCAGCCTGGCTTTGAGGAAGGTGGTCCAACGGTTGATCAGACTCCTCTTCCCCCCTACGTCATTCTGGATGGAGGGAAGAATGAAAGATAAAAACAGGGTGGAGGATGAGGAGAAGAAAGGGAGAGGAGAGGAAAGGAAGTACAAAAAGGAGAGTTTGCAAACAAAAGATCTTTCTCCCACATTACAGATTCAAACATGAAGATCCCAGAACTGTACTAAAATCAGTTTAAAAGCTCGAACAGAATAAAAATGCTCCACATAAACAGAATAAACAGGCCCCAACCAATAGAAATCGGTTCTCCATGGCAGCTGAATTTGACCTTTGCAGAGAGTTTGTTTTTGATACAAACTTTTAAAGACATTTAAACATTTTTGAATGAAGCTGAGACAGACAGACAGACAGACAGACAGACAGACAGATGAGTTGAAATAACTGCTGGAAAACTTATTAACACTTATTAAAAGGCTAAATCCAACAGTGGATCTGACAGCACCAACTCAGCTCCTGACACATCTAATTCTTCAGTGGACCTCTGGAACTGCAACCTGGACATACTGCTGTTGTCATTCAGAGGTTTGTCCTCTATTATATGTTCTTGAGCTCTGTCTTTTGTATCCGTCTGTGTGTTTCTACCTTGCAGACTCGAGCCACGCGGCTGTACACCCTCTTGTCCCACTGTCCGGCCTCCACCGCACGCTCCTTGAAGAAGAAGTAGACCTTGTCGTCGTCCGGACTGTGAGTGTCCGGGATGGAGAAAGAACCCACGAACTCCGGCTCTGAGAGGGAGACGGGACAGCGTCAGTCAGTCACGGGGTCTCCACCATAATAAACTGATCAATACAAGAGGGACTGGAGTTCTCACCATTGAGCCAGTTGTGATCGTAGGCTTCAGTCCGGATGTAATGCTGACTGCTGCCCTGAACAGACGTACGGAAGATTGCAGCATTGGCTCCCATGAAGTCAACCGAAGTTCCTGCATAAAGCTCTCCATCTACAGAGGGAGAAAGAAAGAAAGAAAGAAAGACAGATTAACAACAGTTTACACACTTTATGAAACTGGTTTCTCTCCACTGTTGAACCGCCTGCAGGCCGTATGATGGCATGTGACACTGAATACATTCTTCCTGCAGGGAGAGGTTTCGTTAGTTGACCAACGCAGAGATTGTTGCCACATTCAGAGCACAATGGTTTGTTTTATTCCCCCCTTTGGCATTACTCCACAATGTTCTTTTCCTCATAAAGGTTCTGAGTAAATATTTACAAGCTGATTTATTAAAATGTGTGCACCTCTCTCTCTCTCTTTCTTTGCTTCTGTCCCTGCCATTGAGCAACAAAACAAAATGAACAAATTATTTAATTCTACCATGAAGATAAATTCCTCTCATAAGGGGGAATCCCTGAAACCACCCGGGACTTCATGCTGCATTTTTGTTATTTGCAAAAAGAAAAAGACAATTGAATGAAACACAACAGGAAGGTGGGGGTGGATACAGACGTGTAGAATACTGAAACAGAGAGATTAACTGTGGATGGGTACAGAGCAGAGGTGTGGGGTCGTAGGATCATAAAGAAGCAGTTAAAGCACAGAAATAAATACAATAAAAATTAAATGAAAAGCATGTGTAGATGTATATGAATGTTATTTATTTGAGTTTGTTGTGGCAGTCTGTGTAGAGCTGAGTTTTCCTACAGTGTTACCTGTTCTGTTAAAAGATTAAACCACCGTGAGTTATTTAGTTTTTCCAGATTAGTAGTATTGGGTTTTAGGGCTCATTTATTAAAATTCTGCTTTATTTACCAGAATAAAAATGTACTGTAATGCTGTTTTTAAGAACTAAAAATATACTTTTGACAATTTCTATATTTGACACAAATAAAATAAAATAATTTCAATTTACATTAAAGGTGTCAACAAAGGTAAATATTGTCCCATATTAGTTCATTTCTGATTTTAGTTCATTTTCAATTAAAGTTAAACTTGTACATTTATGTGTAAAATGTCCAGTGCTTTAAAGAATGATTTGATTTCCATAAAGTATGAACATCTTTGTTTAATTATGTTTAAATCCAATATAAAACAGAACATATCACCCCTGGAGGAATTAAACACGTCCATTTACAGCACATATGTTCACTGTCCACAGCTATGATTCATTCCTCGTGTAACGAGCAGCAGCGTTGTTAAATCGTGCTCCGGAGACCCGGATACCAATGAGTAAAGACTGTAAACATCTTAAACAACTGTAATTACATGATGTCATATTTTTACTTCATGTTTGATTCTCAGAAGTTGTGACATTATTAAACATAATCATTTACACAATGCAAACACCCTCAGCTATAAATATTAATGTAATGCTTCGACATCTTGTTTAAAACAATGACTTACTGATAATACTGTAAACGCCACGTGGTTTGGTTGTAATATAAATGTTTCAAAATAAGATGCCATACTGGACAAACTGGTGGTTGTATCACAATTAGGTCTCTTATTTATTACAGTAATAAATGTGTAAATTATTATGACAATATCTATTTGTCTGTGCAACCACCTCCTGGAGAAGCATTTTTTAAATCAGCAACCATTTGAATACAGCTCAGTCTGGATCTTTAATTAATCAATATGTTAGTAAATTGTTAGAAAAATTACCATTATAATTTCCCACAGCATATTCAGATTGCTTGTTTTATACAACCAACAGTCTAAAAGATATTTAATTTACTATCATATATGAAAAAGGAAAACATCAAATCCTCACATTTCAGAAGCTGATTCCAACAAATGGTGTCAATATATTAATCAACTAATGTCTCTAGTTTTTGTTTTATGTCCACAGTCACTTTGGCAGTATAGACACCTAAGTTTAAAGGTCCAGTGTGTAACATTTAGGAGGATCTAGGATGGAATATAATATTCATAGTTATGTTTTCATTAGTGTGTAATCACCTGAATATAGGAATCATTGTGTGTCTTTTACCATTGAATGAGCCGTTTTTATCTACAGATGGCGCAGGTCGCCTTCCATGAAGTCTGCCATGCTGAACCGCCATGTTTCTACAGTAGCCCAGAACAAACAAACCAAATACTGGCTGTAGACAGGGCTGCAATGAGTTGCGAGCTATACCGCTGAGGCCACTAAATCCTTTTTCTCATTCTCATTCTTTATTCTTTAAGAGGAAACATGTGTCCATGCTGCGTACCCATCACAGGAAACCTTCTCCCAATAATTATCTTTATTTCTTATGACTTGACTCATTATTCAGTTCTGTCCCTTTAGACTGTGCAGCACAGTTTGTCTGAAGATCTTTAGAACACAACACATCAATTTAACACGTGTCCCTTGATGTTTATTGCTCAGTTTTTTTATATCAAACCGACAGACCTCCCAAAACCACCTCAAACTTGCACACAAATGCAACTCCCCAGAAAACCCTCCTGAGGCGTCTAAAAACCTCCAGTTTCGACCCTCGTGTCTGCAGTTGGAGTCCTCTTTCTCCAGCTGCCAGCACAGACACAACTATCAGCTTGAAGAACTCATTTCGACAACTAAAAGCTGATTTTATGTGTGTGTGTGTGTGTGGGGAGGGGACCCAAATGCAGTTGATGTGTTTTATGTCCGTAATGTCACGCGGGGGCAACAGCTGACGTCAGCGTGTGAAATAAGTGAGGTGGACCACACACACCACAGCTGGACGGACGATGGACAGCCAGGAATGAGACAGTGGAGGGATTGTACGCTGCAGGACATTAGTGTCATCAGAATATGAATACGACTGTTAGAGAGCAACATGAAAATGATTTAACACGTCCACTTTGTGTGTGTGTGTGTGGGGGGGTGGACACACAGTACATTATGTGTGCACTGGAAGAGACCTACCAGTCAGTCTGGCAGTGAACGGCTCCCTGGGACTGAAGGGACATTTCCCTCTGCCCGACTCCATCGTATGAGAGAGCGTGAACGACAGCTCCTACAGCAGAGAGAAAAAGAAAGAGAGAGAGAGAGAGAGAGAGAAAGAGAGAGAGAGACCACACACAAACACAGAATGATAAACAGAAGTTCAAAGAGGAAACTGACCCTCTGCCTCCACTTCTTCTGATGGATTTCTTCTCGTGTGATTGTCGATTGTCAGAACAAAATGGAAGCTCTTCCAAGAGGAATTCCCTGATTTTAAATATGTTTATGAGTCAGTGTGTCTGTATTGTAATATCTAAAACTACACACACACGAACCCACTGTGGAAGCTGACTGACAGGAAACTGAACTGAAAACAAAAATAAAAACTATGATAACTCTGGGAAACCTCACTGTAACTGTGTTGGAAATTTCACATTGTCTGTTTGGAACATAATAAACAAACAAACAACAAAACACAGAAATGCGAGCTATCTGTAGAAGACTGCGGTATTAATGAATGCATATAAACAGACATATGAACTCCAGTTTACCTCTGTGTTGTGTCCTAAGTGCAGGTATGTACACTGTGGATGGAAGGCTCCAGTGCCACAGGCATAAACATGGGTTTTATTGAAAGGCTGCAGCAGCCGCACAAAGTTGGCACAGTCAGTCTGAAATGAACATAAAACACAATAAAAGTATATGAACACGTTCCTTCACATTAATCATACAACAGAAATAACAATGCAGAGACAAAGATTCATTCTCATGTTTGTACAGTGAATATGAGGCTTAACTTAGCTTAGCATAAAGACTGGAAACAGGGGGAAACAGCTAGCCTGGCTATCAAACACTGACAAAATCCACCAAACAGAACCTCCAAAGCTCACTGATTAACACCTTATATCTTGTTTGTTGAATCTGCACAACGCTGTGCTGCAAGAATGAGTCCTAAACCTGGAAATGAGTTAGCATTTTAGCACTTCTGGTTCCCACAAAGTCACCTTTTCATTTAAATACCCCACATGTGAATTTTGAAGCTTTTACGTGTCTTTAAAAGCAGCATGTCTTTAAAAAGGCGGTTTCTAACACGTGACTAAATGAGACTACAGAGGTTGACATTAAAACTCAGAGACTTGTTGTGTTTAGTGAACTTTAGAGATGCTGGTAGGTGGATTTTGTTAGCTTTGGACAGAGTTTCCAGTCTTTGTGCTAAGCTGCTGTGAACACACAGCAACACAGAAAAAGATGTTTATTGTCTGATATTTTGCTTATTTTATTCTGATTTAAAGAAACTTACCTCCAAACTTTTCCCTGCCTGCCTGCAGTGCTCCACATGTTCTCTGGCAGCTGGCCAGTAGACCTGATTGAGAAGATAAAACACACAAATATCCATTACACTCTAAATTAAAATCTCTTTATCAAACCTCCAGGCAGTCAGACGGATTGTTTTATATTTTGGAAGGTTGAGTTGAGATGCATTAAAGACTGGAGCTTGGTGCGTTTAATGACTCACTGTACGTGTGGGCAGATCCAAGCTGTCGGGCCTCAGCAGGTAAATGTGGTCTTTCCCTCCGACCAACAGCCATCCTTGATCCTCGTCCAACAGCAGGGCCTGGTATCCACCGCTGACGCCGGCCTCCCAGAACACAGCCGAACCATTCCTCAGATCTGACAGAGAGAGAAGAAACATTTCAGTTTCATCGATTTTACTCTACCGCTCTCAAACATCCACCGATGGAAGGACGTACATTTACTCAAGGACTGTAATTTAGTCAAATTTGGAGGTACTCATTCTTTTTATTTTACTTTATACTTCTGCTCCACTACATTTGTTTCTTTGAAGATTTTTTACACACAAAACATACATCAATTTATAAAATATAAAGCATTATTATACATTAAACTACAGCTGTATGTAATGTAGTTAAAATTAAATCCACCTCAACCAACTACAACATTAAAGTACCACTCTCATATTAATATATCCATAATAACGATCCAGTAATATTGCAGGAGCCAATGTCCATTATGAGTACCGTACCTTTCGACATTATTTGAATGCAGAACTTTTACTTGTAATTAAGTAAAAAATAGCACACTTTAAGGTCCAATGTGTAGGATTTAGTAGCATCTAGCAGTTAAGTTGCAACCAAGTCAATATAACTCCCCTTCCAAGTGTGTACAGGAGAAACTACGGTGACCACTAAGTTTTTGGTTTGTCTCTTCTGGGCTACTGTAGAAACATGGTGGCCTCTGTAGAAGAGGACCTGCTCCCTCTGTGGATAAAAATGTCTCATTCTAAGGTAATGAGTCTTATTTTCAGGTGATTATACATGAAAACATACCTATGAATATTATATCTCATATCTCCCAATTGATCCTACTAAAGGTAACACACTGGACCTTTAAGTGAATGATTTGAATGATTCCTCCCCCACTGCAAACACACACACACACATACACACACACACACACACCAGCAGCAGTTCATGAGTCAGGCCGCAGAGCCCTCTCTCTCTGGGGAGTCGGTGCTAAAGCAGGCAGAAAACGACCTGAACAAGCAGAGCAAATGAACCTTGAAATTCTGCCACAGCCCTGCTGCTCGACCACCACTCTGTTTATTCTGCAGCGCTGTCAGCCTGCACTCCCCGAGCTGTAAATGATAACTGGAGCGAGGCAGGCTAATGACTGGGTTTCACTCCAATACGCACTTTATCTCAACTGAAAAGACGTATAGTCCTGTAATAATAATAATCACAATAATGGAGTCCAAAACTTTGTTTTATGGCAAAAGACTTCTGCAGTAATGATGTTTTATATTTTCTTAGTGTTTTATTTTTTTAAATTAAACTTTTTTTCTTGGCTGCTTTCTCCTCACTTGAGGTTATTTAAGAGCTAAAATGATTAGCTTGTTAATTGATGGACAACAACAACAACATAACTCTAATAATAGTCATTTTTGGAACACAAATACAGAATAATCTCTGGTAACAACTTCTCAAATGTCAATATTTGTTGCTGTTCTTTGTTTTATGTGATAATAAACTGAATATGCAGATTAATCTTAAAAAATAAAACACTTTTGAGTGCAGCTTTATGAGTTTCTTCTACATTATGCAAAAGTTCTTCTAATTCCTCCACCTGCAATACATTTGGTGAATTTGGGTCAACTGTGGGTAAATCCACAAACTCCAGCTGTGAACTTGAGTAAAAGCAACTAATTAACCTTGAAATTCTCTGAGTTCTCTGCCGCTGTAACAGCCCTGTAAGTCAGCTGAGTTGACCTGTGCTGCAAATAATCACCTGAGCGAGTGAAGGAAATTAACCATGAAAACTCTGCAAGACTGTGGTGACAAGTGGACCCCACACTGTGAATCGACGAGTGCAGAGACACTGCTTTCTGTGTGCCCTGGTGGCTCCAAAGACGGCGAGCCGTGGCTTTGAATGCAGCACGGCACATTTGTCAAGACTCAGCACCAGCAAAACACATTTAAAAAGAAATGAATCACAGCTTTCATCATCATTCTGCTTGTTAACAGCAAAATACAGAAGAGAAACAAACATAGTCAGGTTTATCTGTACACCCTTTAATCACACACCCATTCAAAATAATAAATGGAGCCATGAGTCAAAGTGATTCTTCAGTCTAACAAGGAAAGTCTCATTGTTCATGTTCAGCTCATGGATCAGTGTGTTTCCTTGTGTGCAAATGTTTCTTTCTGCTGATTATTATACAAAAGGTTGATCTGTAAACTGTTCCAAATGTCTCTGCTGTACATTGCGGCCTACAGAACACGACTACACACAACACAGAGTCTGGGTTAATCCTACAGCTCTCCTTCCTCTGAAATCCGATCAAACGCAGATCGCCGATCGCCTGCCACATCTGTTCGTGGTGCAATTATGAGATCTTCACAGCTCATTTCTCACACACACACACACACACACACACACACACGGCTCAGACTGCTTAACATTAACATTTCTGTGGTTGCTGTGCAGCAGTTTCAATTTACATTTAACGGATGATAATTCTCAGGATCCTTGTATTGTTTTAAGTTTTGGTGCTGCTCTGTTTGTATTCTGTGTTGATGACTTTTGACTGTTGGCACTCTTTTCTTTTGTCTGTTAACTGCTGATCATTATCACTGCTCAGGCTTTTTTCTAAAAAAAGCTCAGAATAAAATCACTTCTCATCCACCAAAGAACAGTTTCCAGGAAACGCCTACAACACTGAAGTCTGTGTTCTAAGTCTGGAACATTCAAAGGATCACAGGAAGGTGATTATTCCAGAGAATATGAAGGATCAACCCTCCCTTAATCATATGTTACAGCCTTAGGTTCATTCAGAAACTCTTCATCTATTCATCTTAGTAAAAGTTTTCCTCAAAGAACTTTACCCTTAAAGAGTTTATCTGGTGTTAATCTGATTTATTTCTATAATTAGTTAGATTATTTTAGGAATCCGCCTCTCTGACTTTACATTCACTCTGAGGACATTATTATTATATTGCTTCTCTTTTCCTCTGTGGCTGCTTGTTAACAGCTATAACTGGTGTTCTTTATCAGGTCGACCACATTCTAGCTCAGATCGGACTGAGCTTTGGATCGGGACTCTTTCTTGAAAATAATGTATGCACGCCGGGTTCGGATAGGTAGTCCATTTCAGATCAGGTCCAACATTTTCTACTCTTAAAGATCTCTACAGCATATGACTGTGGAGAACAACAATCCCACCTCTTTTTGCTATGTGGTCCAATACCAGTTGAGTAAGCCTTAGTCAGAACCTCAATCAACTTTCATTTTGAACATTATTTGTTTTAAAATAATAAATCTTTTTAAAAAGTCTCTGAATATCTGCCTCCACATAAACAAAGCCTAAAAAATCCTATATACTGGAAACTGAGTGACATACTGTGAGAAACAAACAGATTCTGGATCCGGCACAGATATCTGTGCTGTATTAGTCTGAGCCCGGAGCGGGATGGAGCTGGAGACAATAAAAGTAAGCAGGATTTCATTTTATGGACCTGCTGCACTTGGCTCTGCCTCACTGAGTCCTATAGATCCCATCCATCAAGTGCACCAACGATGGGAAATGGAGCACATGATGAAAGCAAACTTAGCAGGAGATATCTCAAAGCACTCTCCCTGAGGGGGACGCGGTGGAAAATATGGCATGAAATACTGAAGAGGAGAGGAAACCAAACGCTTTACGTCACACAGAACCATTGTGTACTCAAATTTGTCATTTTTTGGATGAAGTTTTCCATTAGTTTTCCTGATAACCTGCACAGCCCCCCACATTTTTTAAGTCAGCAGTCCTCTAGAATACATTAAGAATGTGTAGAAACACTGGACTTTCCACACCAGAATCAATTCTGATAAAGGGGAGTTAAGTATTTGAAGATAAAGACAAAATGCATTAAAGCATGAGTGCAGTCTGAATACTTTCACTGTTTCAGCAGCATGATGATTATTTGATTAGTTAAAGCTTCACTCAGTCTGGATGCAATTCAGCTAAATGTCTAAATGTTCCTTTTCCTTTCAATCAAGGCCCGGAGAGCTGATGTTGATTACTTCTGATTGGTCAATGTGATCTGGATTTCCACTGATTGGTCAATGGCATGAGGTCACGACCTCTTCACATCTTGATTCAGGTACAGCTCTCAGTTGTGTGTGTGTGTCAGTGAGGTCAGGAGGATTAGTTAGGTTGAGGGGTCAGCAGTGAAAGAGGATGTGATTACAGGTCAGTGAGTCAGTGAGTCTTCTTATCCACCGGCCACCCAGTTAACTCTGACAGAAATGTACATTTTTACCGGTAAAGAATATAAAAACACATTAAAGGTGTCTTTCTAGAGCAGCAACTGTTAGACCATCCACACATTGAGAACCAGTTTATATCCCTAAAGTCCCAGTGGAAATGTTGTTAATCCTCCAAATTATTCCCAATGCCTGTTAGACACACTTTCCTTTTTCCTGCTGTCGTTTATTTTCTATTTTTATGTTCAGAATGAGTTTAAACACACAAAACAAAACAAAAACGGTTGCCAGAGTCACAAATAATTCTCCACGCGTGCTCAGATATGCTGCACCTGCAGTGTCCAAAATTATGGAATGCATTTGAAATTCATAACATTGTATATTGTCCCATTTCTACATGCTATTAGTTGTGTGTTGTAGAGCTATACTGTATATGTATGTTATTTGTTTGTGTGTGTGTGTGTGTGTGTGTTTGTTGTTTCTAATTCCTTTTTAACCTACGTATTGTAACCTATGTGAAGTGTCTTTGAGTTCAAATAAAATGTATTATGAATGTTATTAAAGATGTGGCCACCAAAAAGAAAACTTGAAGACGAAGAGAGAAGTCATTGGCGTTTTTGGTGCGTCTGAAGAACGCAGGAGATCCTGGCGAAGGTTCAGAAGGTTGTGACAATAAACTGACTCTCTTTGGACATTTTTCACTACTTTCACTAACTTATTACTGTCATTTTATATTATAACAGTACAGGGATGTCCAATTAGAAAGATTTCAAAGGTCACTCAGATAAAATGCACATGAATCCACCATCTAGAGGGGCACATCAATCAACATGCAGTTGCAGCAGAGATTCCAGCTGTGTCTTCTGACCATGAGAGACAGAGAACAGATGAATAAGGTAATAACT